CATCTAAAATGAACTAAAGAAAGCTAAAGGAAAGGAAAAGCAGGCAGCCTAGAATTTCCCAAAAGTTCCAGCCTTGCTGATTCCAGCCCAACACCAGGTAAGCTGCCAGAACCCTACAGCCTCCAAATGCCAACATCAGAGGCCCTAAACACCTGTAGCACACAAAGTCAGGGACCAAGACCTAGGCTCTCAACACAAGAAGTTTGGGTCAGTGCCCTCTGCTCCCCAGAAGGAGAGCTCAGTCTCTTTAAAGGCCAAGGAATAAAGAAACACCATGGGTAAAAAGAAACAAACCATAGATTCATATTATGAGAAGAGTGAAGATCAAGACAGAAATTCTGAAGAGAACAACATTGTCAACAGACAATGATCTGTAAGCTCAAAAGGAATGTGAGCTGGTCAGAAGCCCAAAAAGCCTTCTTAGAAGAGCTCAAGAAGGATTTAAAAGTCAAATGAGAGAGGTAGAAGAGTCCTTAAAAAATACAATTGGTCAATTGGAAAAAAAGTACACTGAAGAAAACAAGTCCCTAAAAAATACAATTGGCCAAGTGGGAAAAAAAAGTACACTGAAGAAAACAAATCCCTTAAAAATACAATTGACCAACTGGGGAAAGAAGTACAAAATCTAAGAAAACAAGTTGTTAAAAATTAGAATTGGGCAAATGGAAACTAATGACTCTATGAGAGAGCAAGAATCAGTCAAACAGAAACAAAGAAATGAAAAAATAGATGAAAACGTAAAATACCTCATTGGTAAAACAACTGACCTGGAAAATTGATCCAGGAAAGACAATTTAAAATTTATTGATCTGCTTGAAAATCACGATGAAAAAATAAGCCTGGACAATATCTTTCAGGAAATCATAAAGGAAAACTGACCTAAAGTCCTAGAACCAGAAGGTAAAATAGCCATAGGAAGAATCCACCGCTCACCTCCTGAAAGAGATCCCAAATTGAAAATGCCAAGGATTATAATAGCCAAATTCCAAAATTACCAGGTCAAAGAGAAAATACTATGAGCAGCCAGAAAGAAACAATTTAAACATCATGGAACCACAGTCAGGATTACACAGGACCTTGCAGCTTCTACATTAAAAGATTGCAGGGCGTGGAACATGATATTCTGTAAGGCAAAGGAGCTTGGATTGCAGCCAAGGATCAACTACCCAGCAAAAATGAGCATGATCTTTCAGGGGAGGAGATGGATATTCAGTGAAATAGGGGACTTCTAAACTTTCCTGATAAAAAGACCAGAGCTCAACAGAAAATTTGATCTTCAAGTACAAGACTCAAGAGAGACATAAAAAGATAAATGGGACAGAAAGATACAATATGTTGTTAATAAGGGCAAACTGTTTACATCCCTACAAGGGAAGATGACACTTGCAACTCTTGAGAATTGTATTGTTATTACACCATGTTAAAGGAGTACACATAAAGGTGGTGAATATAAATTGACTTTGATGTAATGATAAAAATCTAATCAAGTGGGTTAAATGGATCCAAGTAAGTGGATTAGTCTGATCTAAGAAAATCTACTGAGAAAGTAGGAGGCAGACAAGGATTACATTACAGGAAATTACATTACAGGAAAAGACACAAAAACCTATTAAAGCGGAGGGAAAAAAGGGAGGGGGATGAGCATTGTTTGAACCTTACTCTCATCAGATTTGGCTCAAGAAGGGAATAACATAATCAGTCAGGTATAGAAATCTAACTTGCCTTATAGGCAATAGGAGGGAAAAGGGGAATGAAAAGGGAGGGGGGATAGAAGGGAGCAAAGAAGCAGTAAGGGTAAAGGGGAAGAAAAGGGAAAGGACTAATAGCAGGAAGGCGGGACTGAAGGAGGCAGTGGTCAAAAGCAAAACACTAGTGAGGGGGGGAAAGGAGAAAGGAGAACAAAAAGCATAAGTGAGGGAAAAAGGATGGAGAAAAAGACACAGATAGTAATCATAACTGTGAATGTGAATGGGATGAACTCTCCCATAAAACGGAAGCAGATAGCAGAATGGATTAAAAACCAGAATCCTACAATATGTTGTTTACAGGAAACACATTTGGCAAAGAGTGACACACATAGGGTAAAGGTAAAAGGATGGAGCAGAATATATTATTATATTATTAATTTTAATTATAGATCATAAAAACAATAATCTGCTTAAGTATCAAAGAGTTAGTGAAATTGATATAATAGTCTATTTAAACATCAAGAAATTGTATAAATGTACCAGTATATGTTAGTAACAAGTATTGTTGTTTAACTTACTAAGTAGAACCATATAACACTCACAATCACACCTCAACAGTTTGTAGCATCACCATCACTTTTCAACATGGGCTGATTTTGAAGAATTAAAACAGAAGCTACATGATAACAGTGGACCCTAAAATTTGAAATCTTGACAGTTAATAACTCTTGTGAAATTTGAGATTTAAAAATGATTACAATTAGTATTTATTACCATTTTTCATGTAAGTGAACTCAAATTTAAATTAGTGAAGTGAGGATTTCTGTTAATTTGAACCATAAGGAAATTAAAGTAGGTAGTAATAATATCTTCTTGTTGTAAAAGGACCAGCAGAGACCCTTTAAGCTACCAATATCCATGACATTCCTATGCCAATAGTTGGTTGCTGTCAAGTGAACTCCTTTGTGGAGTAACTGGATGAATGTTTTTTTTTTCCCAATGTTAAAGAAGTTATCTTTGAAGAAATAGATAACTTCTTCTCTGAGGTCATTGATGAAGAACTAGGTGGGACCTTGTAAACTTTGCAGTTATACTCAGTAAATTGAACTTGGGTGTATTTGACTATAAGACTTTGAAGATATTGAAAAGAACTATGCATTTATAAGTCTTTAAGAATCAAAAAGGGTGGCAATGTTGCAATTAATTGGGTTTGTGTAACAAAAACTTAGGTTGAAGCATAAAGCAAAATTCAGTGGAGTAATGATTAAGTCTGTACAATTGGGAAATAAAGACTTAAACAAGTAGAAGAAAAGTAAGAGAAATGTTGGCTAAGTAGATGAGAAAGGTCCAGTTTTGAAGGGTTTCATAAAATGAAAGAAAAGATGACAGTTTAGCAAATAACAGCATAACCAAGTGTGGGTGAGAGAAGCATGCATAGAAAGTTTCAGGAAAGTTGGAGTCTGTTTTCACTGACCCAGTGTGAATGCAAGATTTGAAAGTAAAGAGTTTGTTTTTGAAAAAGGAGATCTGATTCCACTGGAATTAAAAAAACAAAAACAAAAACCAAAAAAAAAAAAAAGATTTAGTGAATTTTTAAAGCAATGCATCTCTTGACAATCATTAAGTAGGAAATTTGACAAATGTATATTAATTAACTGATTGATATGGAAAGGATTATTTCTTTATTATCATTAAAACAGTTATGATAAAGGATAAGTAATTTAAAGGAATTGTTTTCACTCTTTGGATGGCCCAAAAAAATATAAAAGCAGTAATGGGTGCTAGAAGGGTCACCGTGGATTTTTAATATAAGTAAATTGAAAAATAATTAAAATAATTGCCACTAGTAATTATAACTTAAAAATTCATTGGACTTAAATTTTTAGTTTTAAAACTATATTGTAATTGTAGTATATTAGAAGTTTAAATCAGTCTTTGCATGTACATGGGGATAATAAATATTTGCATGAAAGTTGTCGGGAGAAGCACATGATAGTGTAATGCTTATCATGGTGCTTGGCTTGTATAGGAATTCAATTTGACATATGAACTTTTCCTAATTAGCATGAAATGTTAACAAATTTGCTGATATATTTCAGTAATTCAAATTCTAATAAAAAAGTCATATACCAAACATTTTAAACTCTTCTGAAAACTGGCCTTTGAAATTCTTTAAATCCTTTTTTAAGCCCTAGTAGAAAAGGCCTGGTATGTGATAATCCTTATATAAACTATTGTTATTTGAAAATACCAGGAGTTTCCCAATTGGTAAATGGTCAAAGGATATGAACAGTCAGTTTTCCAATGAAGAAAACAAAACAATTTATAACTCATATGAAAAATGCTCTAAATCATTATTGATTAGAGAAATGAAAATCAAAACAACCTTGAGCTGTCATTTTACATCTACTAGATTGACTAAAATGATTGAAGGGGAAAGACACAAATATTGGAGGAGATATGGAAAAATTGGGACATAATTCATTGTTGGTGGAATTGTGAGCTGATCCAATCATTTTGGAGAGCAATATGGAATTATGCCCAAAGAGTTATTAAACTACCTATATCCTTTTACCCAATAATACCACTACTAGATCTGCTGCCAAAGATGATTAGGGGAAAAGGAAAATAACCTGCATGTTCTAAAATGTTTTAAAAAGCTCTCTTTGTGGTGACAAAGAAGTGGAAATTGCAGAGATGCCCATCAAGTGGGGAATGGCAGAATAAGTTGTGGTATATAATTGTGATGGAATACTACTGTGTTGTAAGAAATGATCAGCTCAATGACATTATAAAAACATGGAAAGACTTACACAAAATAACATAGAGCAAAATGAGCAGAACCAAGAGAAAATTGTATATAGTTACAGCAATTTTGTTTTAAGAATGACTTTGAGCAAATCAGTTAGTTTGACTATTATAAATACCTAAATTAACTATAAAGGACATATGAAGAAAGATGTTATCTGCATCTAGAGAAAGAACTGATAACAGAAGTGTGTATAAAATAATTTTAAATACATACATATGTGTGTGTCTAATGGTGGCCTTCTCTGGAATAGTAACTTGTACATAGTAGATTTATAGTTTCACATGCAATCATCTTTTATTATACTATGTTATGGAAATGCTTGTTTTATTCCATAAATAAAAAATGAAACAAATACTTTTTTAAGTGAAAGGCAAAAAATATTATCAGGGGTAACAAGATAAATGACTTTCTAGGAACTGATGGATTTGAAATGAATTTGACTAAAATAACATCACCTAGTATATTTTGTTTTAATAAATTAGAAAATAATAATAACTCACCATTAGGAAAAGAGAGCGGCAGAGTCTTCTTCCAAGTTATTTGATTGTGAGTTATGAGGTTTATATAGCCCTGCTGACAGATTATTGTGAAACTCCACAGCACTGCTGTTTGAGGAACTTGGATCAATCCCAGCCAGAATGGAATAATACACAGGATAAGATGATTTGGAAGGTCATGAAATCATATCTCGAATCCAACCATTTACTGTTTGTGTGAACTTCTGTTACTATACATGGATATAATTCCTGACACTTGCTAAGGCAATAGCATCCTGTACCCTACAATGACACTGAGTTGAAGAAGTGGAAAGAGCAGTACAAGGCTAAACAGGTCTCATAGGTCTGGTCAACTGAGGGAGGTAAATCCCTCCTCCCCAAAGCTTCTATGACTAGGTATACTTTTTAGTTAATAAAGAGAGTCATTGTGGCACACAAAGACTAGTTTCAACAAGCAAGGGTGGGTTAGTGCAGTGACCACTCCAGTGATAACTTGTATAACAGGCTAACAGCCACTTGACCAACTTGTGTGAGTTTTAATTACCTTGTATTTCAAGTCATATCTGTGGGTGAGGCCATCTCTGAGCTTACACCCCTTCTTAAGCAATTACACAAAAAAGTCCTTGAATTTTTTTTATAGAAAAAGGCAGTCCTTGACCAGGGTTGAACTTATTCTTTAGTTCTTAAGCCATAGTTCCCTCTAATACCATAGAATTCACTTGTCCCAGTTTTCACATTTTCCCTTCAACATCCAATATTTTCCTTTTTGGTCAGATTAGCCACTCTGATATGTGTGAGATGCCACCTCAGAGTTGTTTTATTTTCTTTTTCTCTGATCTAGAGTGGTTAAGAGCATTTTTTCATGAGACTAGAAAGTTTTTTTTTTGTTTGAAAATTGCATGTTCATATCCATTGACCATTTTTCAATTGGGAAATGACTTGTATTTTTATAAATTTTACTCACTTTGCCATATATTTGAGAAATGAGACCTTTATCAGAAATAGTTGGTGTAAATTCCACTCCACTCCCATTTTTTGATTTACTTATAACTTTGGTTGTATCGGTTTTGTTTGTGCCAAAACTTTTAATTTAATATAATCAAAATTATATGTTTTACCTTTTGTAATGGTCTTTATATCTTTTTTGGTCCTAAAGGCATCCTTTGTCCATAATTCGGACAGATAAAAGTATTAGGTGCTGTCTTAATTTGCTTACAATACTCCCTCTTGCTTATAGTCTAAAATTATTCTTTTACATTCGGCTTAGTCAGCATAACAAAGAAAAATGAGGGTAGAGTCTTTCTAGCTGGTTTCCTATGATTAAGCAAGTGAACTTACAATCTGCAGTTCACAACTCTAGAGCCTAATATACAAAACTTAAAATCCCTACCCCTTGAGAATGATATCAAAAGGATTAATACTGTTGAGAATAAAATGAGGGGGCCTCAAAGCCACATGTGGCCCTCTAACTCTTCAGATCATTTTAGATGATCATTGTAGATCTAGATCTGTAGATCTACTAAGCCATATGTGGCCTGGAAAGCACAAGTTCCTCACCTTTTTCTTAGGGCATCATTCCAAATTATTATACAGTATGATTAGATCAGGTCAAAAATCTGTCAAAAGTGCATTTGTTTCCCAGTTTGTCCACATCCCCTCCAATATTCAACTTTTTCCTTTTTTTGTCAGATTACCCACTGTGATAAGTGTGAGTTGCCACCACAGAATTGTTTTAATTTATTTTTTCTTGATCAATTGTGATTGAGAGCATTTTTTCATATGACTAGAGATAGCTTTGATTTCTTTGTCTTGAAACTGCATATTCACATCCTTTGACAATTTATCAAGTGGGGAATGACATGTATTTTTGTAAATTTTACTGAGTTCTCTATATATTTGAGACATGAGGCCTTTATCGGAGATAGTTGTTGTAAATCCCATCCTACCCCCATTTTTTTGCTTTCCTTATAATTTTGTTGTATTGGTTTTGTTTGTACAAAAAATGTTAAATTAATATAATCAAAATTAACTATTTTACATTTTATAATGCTGTCTATATCTTCTCAGTTCCTAAAGTCATCCCTTGTCCACAAATCTGACAGATAAAGTACTAGGTGTCCTCTTGATTTGCTTACAGAATTTATACTTGCTTATTGATCATTGCAAATCTAGATCTACAGATCTACAGGGCCACATGTGGCTTAGAAAACAGAAGTCCCCCACCCTTTTCTTAGGACATCATTTCAAATCACTCTCCAGTATGGTTAGATCAGGTCAAAACACCACCAACAGTTTATCAGTGTCCCAGTTTTCCCACAGCCTCTTCAACATCCAACTTTTTCTTTTTTTGTCCGATTAGCTACTCTGATAGTTATGAGGGCCCACTTCATAGTTCTTTTATTTTCTTTTTCTCTGATCAAGAGTGATACAGAGCATTTTTTCATATGACTAGAAAGTTTTGATTTCTTTGTTTGAAAATTGCATGTTCATTATCTTTTGACCACTTTTCAATTGGGGAATGACTTTTATTTTTATAAATTTTACTGAGTTCTCTGTACATTTGAGACATGAGGCCTTTATCAGAGATAGATGTTGTAAATACCACCACACTCCCAGTTTTCTGCTTTCCTTATAATTTTGGTTCATTAGTTTTATTTGTGCAAAAACTGTTAATTTAATATAATAAAAACTATTTTACATTTTATGATGCTCTCTATATCTTCTTAGGTCCTAAAGTCATCACTTGTCCATAAATCTGAGAGAGAAACTATTTCATGCTTCCTTAATTTGCTTATAGTACTTACACTTTCTTATAGTATAAAATTCTTCCATCACACTGGGCTTGGTCAGCATAACAAGGAAAAATAAGGGTGGAGGCTTTCTAGCTAGTTTCCCATCAATAAGAAAGTGAACTTGCAATATTCAGTTCAGAACCCTAGGGGTTAATATGCAGAATTTATCATCACTAATCCTTGGGAATAATATCAAAGGGATTAATACTAATTGGAATAAAATGAGGGTCCTGGAAGCCACATGTGACCCTCTAGTTCCTCAGACCATGGTAGATATAGTGCTGCAGATCTACAGGGCCATATGTGGTTAGAAAACACAAAGTCCCCACCTCTTTTATAGGGCATCATTCCACATTGCTCTCCAGAATAGTTGGATCAGGTCACAACTCCACCAACAATGCATTAGTGTCCCAGTTTTCCCACATTCTTCTCAACTTCCAACATTTTTGGTTTTTGTCAGATTAGCTACTCTGATAGTTATGAGGTCCCATCTTATAGTTGTTTTATTTTCTTTTTCTCAGATCAAGAATAATTAAGAGCATTTCTTCATAAGACTAGAAAGTTTTTATTTCTTTGTCTGAAAATTGCATGTTCATATCCTTTGACCATTTTTCCATTGGGGAATGACTTGTATTTTTATATATTTGACTAATGTCTCTATATATTTCAGAAATGAGGCCCTCATCAGAGATAATTACAAATCCCACAACACCCCCAGTTTTCTGCTTTCCTTATAATTTTGGTAACATTCATTTTGTTTGTGCAAAAACTTATTTTAATATAATCAATTTTTAAATTTTTTTCCATTAATTTATTTAGAATTATCAGCAATCACTTCCATAAGCTTTTCAGTTTTAAATTCTTCTTCCCCTTTCTTCCTTTACATTTATATTCATTACAGAAATTGATCTATAATTTTCTTTCTCTGTTTTAACTCTTCCTGGTTTAGGTATCAGCACCATATTTATATCATAAAAAGCATTTGGTAAGACTCTTTCTTCACCTATTTTCCCAAATAGTCTATATAGTATTAGAATTAATTGTTCTTTAAATGTTTGATAGAATTTGCATGTAAATCCATCCAGCCCTGAAGATTTTTTCCTAAGGAGTTCATCAATGGCTTATTCAATTTCTTTTTCTGAGATGGGGTTATTTAAGTATTTTACTTCCTCTTCTGTTAATGTGAGCAATTTATATTTTTGTAAATATTTATCCATTTCACTAAGATTGTCAAATTTATTGGCATACAGTTGGGCAAAATAGTTCCTAATTATTGTTTAATTTCCTCTTTCTCAGTGGTGGATTCACCCTTTTCATTTTTGAAACTTGTAATTTGGTTTTCTTCTTTCTTTTTTTAATTAAACTAACCAAAATTTTATCTATTTTATTGGTTTTTCATAAAACCAGCTCTTAATTTTATTTACTAGTCCAATTGTTTCCTTATTTTAATTTCATTAATTTCTCCTTTGGTTTTCAATATATCTAATTCGGTGTTTGAGGATTTTTAATTTGTTCTTTTACTAGCTTTTTTTTTAGTTGTATGCCCAATTCATTGATCTCCTCTTTTTCTATTTTATTCATGCAAGCATTTAGAGATATAAAGTTTCCCTTAAGAACTGCTACCTTGCTAGGATGCCTCCTGTTCTGTACTGCTCCCCTTCCCCCAGGGCAAAAGGGGCCTTTCCTGTTAATCCCTCAAGCTACCTGGGCTACTGGACTGCTGCATCTCATCTTTCTTCTGGTTCAACTATTCCAGGGTTTTTCCTAGGGAGATATTTTCTAGGCTTTCAGAGGTTAAGAAGGGAGGGTAAGAGCTACTTACTTCTTATTCCACCATCTTGGCACCCAGAAGTAGATCTAGATCTGCAGAACTACAGGGCCATTTGTGGCCTAGATAACAGAAGGTCCCCACTCATTTTTAAGGGAATAACTCTAAATTGCTCTGCAGAATGGTTGGATCAGGTCACAATTCCACCAACAGTGTACTAGTGTCCAAGTTTTCCCATTTTCCCTTCAATATCAAACATTTTTCTTTTTTGCCATATGAGCTACTCTGATAGGTGTAAGATGCCACTTCAGTGTTGTTTTAATTTCTTTTTTCTGTTATCAATAGTGATATAGAATATTTTTTTCATTTGACTATAGATAACTTTGACTTCCTTGTCTGAAAACTGCTTCTTCTTATCCTTTGGCAATTTATGAGCTGGGGAATGACTTGTATTTTTATAATTTTTGCAACATTTGCTAGGTATTTGAGAAATGAGGCCTGTATCAGACATAGTCTTGGTAAATCTCACCCAACTCCAATTTTTGATT